TGAGACTCCCGAGGTGCTTGCATAAATTGTGACAGGACATGGACTGAATAACTCAACTCAGGCCGAGTATGAAGAAGATAGAGAAGGCGACCAACTAGGCGCCGGTATGGCTTGGGATCCAGAAGGAACAGACCATCATCGGAGGCAAGGTTATGATTTTGTTCCAAAGGTGTATGAGCAGGACGAGAACCAAGATTACCACTATCTGATATAATGTCAAGAGCATACTTGCGCTGAGATAAGAAAATGCCATCAGGGCCACGACTTACTTCAATTCCCAAAAAATATTTAAGCTTTCCCAAATCTTTCATGGAGAAAGAACGACCCAAATACTCCTTGAACTTTTTAATCATGTACCCGTTGTTACCACAAATCACGAGATCGTCAACATAAATCAACACGCGAAGTTCAATTCCGTTGCGTGTATATGAGAAGAGAGAGTGATCCTCGTAAGCTTGAACAAAACCAAAACGTAAGAGAGCGTCAGATAACTTTTTAAACCAACACCGAGGAGCTTGTTTCAAGCCATACAATGACTTGCGAAGACGACAAACTTTGTCGGGAAAAGAATGACGAAACCCAGGAGGCAGTTTCATGTAAACCTCCTCTTCTAGATCACCATGAAGGAAGGCATTATTTACATCCATTTGATATACCTCCCATTGATTTGCAGCAACGAGACGAAGAAGAGTACGAACCGTTGTCATTTTTACCACTGGCGCAAATGTTTCATTGTAATCCTCTCCTTCAACTTGTTTATTTCCTTGAACAACTAAACGAGCTTTGTATCTCTCGATGGAACCATCAGCATTGTACTTGGTCTTGTAGACCCATTGACTCCCAATAGCTACTTTTCCTGTTGGCAAATCCACTATATCCCATGTCTTATTACTTTCCAATGCATCAACTTCTTTAAACATTGCATCATTCCACACCTTTATTTGAACAGCCTCTTTAAAATTTTTGGGCTCAACATTTGTAGTGATTGCAGCGAGATAAGCTTTATGTCCTGTGGAAAAATATTCATCGGAGATACAGTCTGTCAAAGGGTAGTGTGAATTACCTGGGAGCGGTGTCGAGGACTGAGAAGTGGAAGTGAGGAGAGCGTGATGGGTATCCGGAGTGGCAGTAGCATTATACAAGACATAGTCTTTCAATCGTACAGGTTGTATGACTTGACGTTTTCCTTGACGCGGAGGAGTTTTCTCAACAAAAGGAGAAGAAGCCGCCGATAACGGGGAGGGCTTAGAAGTCGGAGAAACTGACAGAGTTTCATTCGGAGACTCAGCCGTATCACTTGGAGATGAGATGGTTTCTTGTGGCGGAGAAGCAGGCTCTGTACTCGGATTCGGAACAGAGTCCAAAACAGAGTCATCGCCGGAGGTAACAGTCGGGGCAACACTTGTTGCTGCATCATAATCGACGACTGGTGCTGTGAGAGATTCAGAGGAAGCACCTGGCAAGGCTCCGGGTGTAGCTGCAGTGGTTGGAACCACATTTTCAATGCTCCCCCTGTCGACCAACGGCGGAGAAGGCAGCCAATCTTCATCACATATAACTGGAAGTGAGGCTAACGGCCTCGAGACTGAATCAGCAACACTTGACATAAAAGGAAACACATCCTCTCTAAAGACAACATCACGTGAGATTAAGAATTCATTAGTATTCATGTCATACACTTTCCACCCCTTTTGTCCAAAAGGATAACCGACAAACATGCATAAGCGACTTCTTTCGCCAAACTTGTCTTTATCCCGTGTAACGCGGTGAGTATAACAAGCACACCCAAAGACGCGGAGCTGATCATAACTCGGCTTGCTGCCATGAAGTATCTCGTAAGGAGAGAGGCCGTTATGAATAGAAGATGGTGTACGATTGATTAAATAAGCAGCCGTCAAAACTGCTTCACCCCAAAATTTAATAGGTAGATTCGCTTGAAACAACAATGCTCTAGAGACGTTGAGAATATGTCGATGCTTTCGTTCTACTCTACCATTTTGTTGTGGAGTCCCTACGCAAGAAGTCTGATGAGTTATACCATGCTCTCTGAAATAAGACGAGAGACACATAAATTCCGTCCCATTGTCGCTGCGAATTGTTTTCACGGATTTGCCAAACTGTTTTTCCGTGTAAGCCAAGAAGTTAGTGAGCACGCCACGCACTTCTGATTTTGCAAGTAAGAGATACGTCCAAACGGTTCTTGAAAAATCATCGACGATTGTTAAAAAATAAACTGCTCCACAAGATGAGGGCACGCGATACGGTCCCCAAACGTCACAATGTATTAAAGAAAAACACTCTAATGTTTTATTAATACTATCGGGAAAAACTTCTCTTGTCTGTTTTGCTCTAAAACATACGTCACACGAGCGAGAGCTAACAGCGGTAGAGGAACCCGTAAACAAAGGTAAATTGGAAAGCACTGAAAAACTTGGATGTCCTAAACGTTGATGCCACAAAGCTTGATCGGAGGAGACTGCCACTGTATGAATCTTTGTCGTAGCCACATCCGTTAGATAATACACCCCATCACGTTCTTCCCCGGTTCCAATCAAAGTCCTCGAAAACCGGTCCTGTAAAACACAAATTGTATCAGTGAACAATGCCAAACACTTAGTCTGTTTTACTATCTTTGAAACAGATATTAATGTGCAATTCAACGCAGGCACATAAAGAACATTAGTCAACTTGACTTTATCCGAAAGCGGGAACGCTCCCATGCTTACAGCGAACGTTTTACGTCCATCCGCAAATCCCACCGAACACGGTGGTATAGAGACAATGTTAGTCAAGAAAGAAAGCTGCCCAGTCATATGATGGGAAGCTCCGGTATCGAGAATAACATCGCCAAACTGTGCCTTACCGGACAATTTATCGGCGTTGGCATTATCTTTGTTTTGAATCATCTGTGTGATAACTCTCAATTGATCTGGTGTGAATTCTGGAAATGTGGAGAAGTTGGAAGTTGTAGCATGAGCTGCTGTGACTTGTCCCTTTCCACGACCAGAATTGGTGAAACCTGAGCCACGACCACCTCTACCACGAGCGTTGGACCCACGACCACTGCCATTGTTACGCTCCATCCACCAGTCAGGGAATCCTACGATCTGCCAGCACTCTTTCTTTTCATGGCCACTACGACCACAGTGTGAGCAGAGAATGGAACGATCTCGAGATCTCACAATGGAAGTCTCTGTTTTTCCTTCCATGGTATGCTCTGTGTTTTGTTGATTGCTGCGAGTGACAAATCCAATTGCTGACTGTTGTTGTTCACGAACCTGAGCTGATGCAAGCCTCTGTTCTTCTCTCACAACCCGAGAGTAGATTTCTCCAAGAGGCGGAAACGGATCCATTGCTATGAGGAGTGTGGAGAGTCCTCCAAAGCGAGAATCGTCAAGTCCTAGCACGAATTGATGAATCTTCTCTTCTTCCCTTTCTTTTGAAGGTTCAAGAGTAGCACCACAGGTACACAAACCACACTTACACACGGTAATAGGTTTGTAAATTTGGTATTCTTCCCAAAGTTTACACAAGCGACCATAGTATTCAACAACAGGCTGTCCATCTTGCCGACACGATGCAAGCTGAGCCTTGAGTTGATGAACACGAACTTTGTTTCCCACCGAGAAACGCTGCTTCAATTCCACCCATAGTTTATGAGCATCAGATATGAAGGTAACTGTTGATTTAACCTTCGGTTCAATGGAGGTTCGAATCCATCCCACGATCATCGAATTGACTGCAGTCCAATTCTCATAATTCGGATCATCACATGGTGGTTTTGGAATCGAGCCATTGATGAATCCGGTCTTACGTTTGGCTTGAAGGGCATTCAACATCTCCGTGGACCATTCATTGAAATTGTCCACTACAGGAAATGTGGGTATTAATAGCGTAAGAGCATAGCGTTTTGAATGTTTATGCTATAATAGAGTTTTGAAAAATTTTAGATAGCGTTTGGAGAAAGGCAAACGCTATGGTAGGTTGAGCGCGAAAAATATTTCAGAGTGGCGCTTAGTATTTGGTCTATGATAGCATAGATGTAAATTAAAACGTTATTATAGGTATAACCGGGAAACTAAAATTTTATTGGCTCCAAAAATTTTACTAAGTAACAAAATAATAAAAAAAAACAAAGAAACAATAAGTTAAAAAAAAAAAAAAATCAGGGCTATCGATCCTTCTCATATCTTTCTTCTTTCTTTCCTCTTCTCACATCTTTCTTCTCTGTCTCGAGACTGATCCGTTCTTTCTCCCTGAAAGACCAAATATGAACACCAAATGAAACCCAATTAGTTTCTCTTCCACTATCGATCCCTAATTTTGTCTAATCCCTCTCAGATCTAAATCCCTCTCAGTCGAAATCTCTCTAGATCTCGATCGTATGTTTCTTAATCGTCACAGACATCAATCGAAATCAAATTGGTTAGTATATGTATGGGTGTTCGATATTCTCAATGATTTAGTTTTTATTCATGTTAGGGTTTCATCTGTTTTTGTTGTTTTTGAAGTAATTGGGTTTTGGATTGTTGTTTGTGTGATTTGAATCGTGTTTCTTTCTTCTTATGTGAGTTTGGGTGTTCGACTTTCAATTTGTGTTTTCGATTGATTTATGTCTGAGTTTAGATTCATTACAAGATAGTCTATTTACTAGATTCTTTACTAGATAATGCATGTATCGATTGATTTTTGTCCTGAGTTTGGATAGTGTAGAAAAGTTTCTTGCTCTCATATAAAGATGCTAATTTGGTTTCCTAGCTCTTGTCTCTAGTTCTTACCGGTCGCTGCCACTGCTCTCATGATTATTGATGTCTCATGTATCTTTTTCTGATGTGTAATTGGATTTGCGGATCTGTATGGATTTGAAGGACAAGAGGAATCCATATGCTTCAGACATTGAGTAACTTTAAGGACGGTGAAGTCGTGCTTCTCCAGGATATCTGCAGTAAGGCAAGTGATTGAAGAATAATACGAACAAAGTCTTGAGAGAATGTCATGATTATTTATTCTTTGTTTGGTTGTTCTGTTTCAGGTTGCGATTCATCTTATGGTTAACCAACTTCTTGGATCTTTTTATTTGTTGTTCAGGCACGAAAGGAAATCATAAGCAAGATAAACAAGACGATAGAGAAGCGGTTGCAGAACAAAGCAGCATCAGATACTGCTGGCGCTGGGAATGGTGTACTTGGAAGATTGCTTGAAGAAGAAAGCTTACCTCAGATGAAACCACCGCGAAAACATTGTGCAAATGAGCAGGAAGAACATGATAGGCTCGCAGGTGGAATGCTAACATGGCAAGATTACAAGACAATGGACTTCACTCAATGCGTAAGTAAATCAAGATGCCCAAGAATGTTCTCTGCTTCTTATCACAATGCGTAAGTAAATCAAGATGCCCAAGAATGTTCTCTGCTTCTTATCACAGATGGTAAAAACCTTCACTAAACACTTTTCTTGATTTCTCAACAGGTAATAGATGAGACACTCAGGCTTGGGGGAATTGCAATCTGGCTAATGAGAGAGGCGAAAGAAGATGTCTCATACCAAGGTTCGTGATAGCGTCTTTGACTTTTGACATAAGAATCTGTTCTGTCCATGCGTCGATTGTTGGAATTTTTGCCATCAGCTGATAGATACTGTATTTGAGCCTCTTGTGATTAGAGGTATGGATTTGAAGTACAAGAGGAATCCATGTTAGTTTAAGCATGGGGACAGGAGGGATAGAACATCTGCAGATGTTCCAAATTCAGAGGAAGAGGCTTATTACTTGATGAGGACAGCTTTTTTTGAATCTGAAGTTGGTGATGAACTTCCATCTGAGTGTACTGCAGAAGAATCAGATTTTAGGGAAAAGTTAGAGGATGCTGAAACTGCACTATGTATACTCAACGTGTCACAAGTACAACAAGGTCTCTGAAATTTATGTCGCACCATTTGTTTTAAGTGTCGAAGACTGGTGTTCAAAAAAAAAAAAAAAAGAGAAAGTGTCGAAAACTTTGTTTTATTTTGGTATGCACTTCTCTAGACTTTGTTTTATTTTTATGTCGAACAATATATGTATGCACTTCTCTAGACTTTGTTTTCTCATGTTAATAAATTTTAATTCATAATTATTCGTATACGTTTGATAGTTTGTTAATAATATACTATCAAATAATTTTAAACTACAAACAAAATCATGGAACAAAAATTTTCTTCTAAAAAAAAATATATATATATATACAATCAACAATGGAATATAAAATTAACTAATGTATCATATAATAATAATAAAATTATACTAGTGAAAAATGTTTAAAGATGGAACCCTATACCCTAAACCCTAAACCCTAAACCATTTAGGGTATAGGGTTTAGGGTTGAAAGTTCAATCTTGAAACATGATTCACTTTTTATAAATTAACAAAATAAAATTATTTTAAAATAATTATTTTAAATTTTAAAGTTAAAATCTTACATTAAATCTCTAAACCCTAAACCCTAAACCCTAAACCCTAAATTAAAGTTAAAATCCTAATTAAATTAAATCTTTAAACTCTAAATTAAAGTTAAAATCCTAAACTGAAATTCGAAATCATAAACTATAAAACATAAATACTTGAGTAAAAAAATCTAAATCCCAAAGTTTAAACCCTAAACCCTAAACTATGCCTTAGTGTATATGAACATATAAGTTAGATAGTTGGAATACTAACCTATATTAATTGTTCTTAATTTAAAAATTTTATACTTATAAGAAAAAATATTCTAAAAATTGAAATACGTATATTGAATTTTTAAAGAAATAATTTATATTTTTTTCATTAATAAACAATTTTATATGATAATTTTCTGATTTTTTCATTATTAGCCAATGAGAACTCACCTCCCACATGGTGGGACGAATCCTACACCGTTAGATCGCGCCGACTTTGATCTGAGCCGTCCTTTCTTATTGTTGACGTGATTAATATACACCGTTGATCTGTATCGCTGATTTGATCTGAGCCGTTCATGTTCTTAGCCAATAAGGAGTAACTACTGAGATTGCACTCTGGGCTTATTCTCCACCGTTGATGAATTTAATCCGACGGCTAAACGTTTCTCCTTCTTTTCTTTTTTTTTGGGTTAAAACTTCTTTTCCTTTTGGCTTTCTCTTCCTTAGTACGATCTGTTCTTAGATCTTACATCTTATGGGATAGGTTAAAACTTTCAGTCTTCTTCTTCTTCGTTGAGATAGGTGAGCTCATCGACCAACAATGGATTCCTCTGCAACAGCCCCAAATTCTCTGTCTTTCTTCTCCTCTTCTCTCTTTTTATCTTCCTCTCACCAAATCCCTAAAACCTACATTTCCGTTTCAAAATTCGGCTCCGGCAAAGCATCGAAACCGCTCTCTGTTGCATCTCAGCTAGCGACTCTTCCAATCATCTCATTCGAGGGAGAGAAGGTCGGGGAGAAGGTGGCGGTGAGGACATCTTCGAATTTCTTTTCCGGCTCGCGAGGCGAAGGTGGCTACTTCTATTGATTCCGAGCTGTTAGAGGACGGAGGCTCAAGGCAGATTTCAGTCGTGTATTTGAGTTTATGGGTTCGGTCATCTCCGTGACGGATATTGAGCGGCAGATCTTGCAGCTGAGGGTGGTGACAGCGAAATCAATTCTCCGGTTGCGTCGGTTAAGCTTATGTGGTTAAATCCGGTGTTTTAGATCTGCATTTGTCGGGATTAACGAAATCCGGACAATCTCCGGTGGTTGGGTTAGGTCCGTTGTGGCTGAGGTTGTCGGCAGTTAGCTATTGATGCTTATGATTTGGTTTTTGTTTCAGCCTAAGCAAATTGTTGGGGAGTTATAACATGATAATTGTTTGATTGGCAGCTCCGAGATGGATCGTCGCACCAGGGTACTGTAACATCAATGGAACCGAATGAAGGCACTTTCGTTCTTCACACTGAAAACACTAAGGTAAAGATTCTTACTTTGTTTTATCTTAAACAAACGACTTCAGCATTGGAATTGGAACGACTTCAGCATTGGAATTGAAGGAGAAGTGTTCTCCTTCTCGCATTGCTACAACAAAGTCACTGTAGCTGAGGCATCTGGACTCACCGGAGAAACCGTCCAGATCCAAGACTTCATTCGAGAATACATCAAGCCTTTAGCTCAAACGTGCATTAATAGATTGAATGTACGACTAGATTCTTATGCCTTTGGTCTGTGACTTTGATTTGAGTTTAGTGATCCTTTTTGTATATGAGTTCTTTGTTTGCTCATTGTGGTTCTAAAAGATAGGAGACAGAGGAGGAAGATGAAGATAGGAGACATAGGGGTAGATGAAGATAGGAGATTTATCGATCTTGTATATTTTTATTGATGTAGTATTTTAATAAAAGGTTTTTGTATATATTTCATGTAATAATGATAATAAAATATTGTATTTTTTATTTTATTTTTGATTTAAATACAATTAAAATAATTAACAAAAATAAAAATATTGTAAAAAATATATATTACTGAAATAATTAATCAAATATAAATATTACAGAAAAAACAAATTATGAAAATAGGTACAACCCAATCATAACGATTATTACACGTTATTATAAATATTAATAATAGCAGCGTCTTAAACGCTATCGTTGTATACTTAACTATTGCACAACGCAAAACCGCTATCAAAAGTGTCCGACTTTCTATAACGGGCGATGTCAGAGCGCTTAAGGAAACGCTATGGTAGATGAATAATTGCGTTTTTCGGCCGCTATTAATACCCACATTTCCTGTAGTGGTCACCAGTTAACGTAACTGATGAGATCATGGCCCCTGGATTGTCTGTGTTTGCAAGAGTATACGGTGACACCTTTGTTGTATCTGATTGACCAACCGTGGATATTGATGTCGACGAGCCATCTTCTGTGAGAGACATTGTTGCTTGACACGCAAGAAACAAAGTTTTAAGAACAGAGGAACGAAACTATCGTAAAAAGAAAAGTTTTTTTTTTTTTTTTTTTGAGATTTTGTTGGATCTTAGGCTCTGATACCATGTAGAATTAGGTAACAAACCCACTTGCTTTATTCATTCACCAAACAATGGTATTTATACATGAGAGCTCACGAGAGCTTTGATAACAAGATAAGCTTAAGATCCTAAAATGTAGGACATAAACTCTATCACAAAAGATATGATCTAATCCTAACCGGATTATACACATATATCCCCAATAGACTACAACTGAAGAAATAGAAATCCTAGTGATAAAGAGTTCCACCACAAAGGAAGGATTTTCATAGATGCAGAGGGCTATCCTTTTCGAGGATGCCAAGCTCCATGATAACCATTGCTGTAAGGGATACAGAAGATTCCAAGCAGTTTTAAACTTCCAATAATGCGCCTGAAGTGCATGAGCACCTTTTCCAGGTTGCATATAGTACGAGAAGAAATTCTCGCGAGCCAATGTCCAAAGACATCGATTAAGAGGAGGATTCGAAGCCACACAATTGCAGGCCAAGGTCCCGAGCCAAGCAAAGAGATGCTGGGAATATTAGTGCCAGTGAGATGGATGATGTAAACAAAAGTTTTATCTCTTTTAATTTCCAACAAAGTCGTATACTAGCATCTCCATTTCCACAAAGCAAACATACCGAGAAAACATTGTAACCGGATATTTTTTCAGGTACAAGATACTAAAACGTCTCCTAAAGCCACTAGAGTCTTCATAAAGAAGAGATAGAAACAAGGGTCTCTCCCATATGGAGGAATTTGAAAATGTACTCTCCAAAAAGGAGGAATAAGACAAAGGTCTCTCACATTCATTGGATTTTGATGGCTTAAAGATTGAGCGTTTTAAAACTTTATCTAATAAAGAGAAACACATATAAGGTTTGTCACTATGGAGCATCTGCCGGCTAGGTTAGACAAGCGGCTCGTGACTTGGTCGCCGGAAAAGAGGCCACAATGGTAACATCACCGAGAAGAGGCCAGCGGCGTTTGCGTATATCGGCAGACCGTTGCCGGCGACGGACAACAAAAGCTCAATGGACAAGTTTTGTTGATGAAGCTTGTCTTGAAAATGGAGCTTGAGAGAGTTTTGAATTTTGAAAGTGGAGGAATTCAGAGAATGTTCTCTTCCAGAGCTGTTTTTAGCGACAAGCCACTCTTAAAAATGGCTTCCAGCGACGATGAGATACAAGCATAAAACAATTTGAGGAACATGAGAGAAACTTGTCGGAAAAGATTAAACAGAGGTGAATCGCGGCAGAGTGGGGGGAATCGACTTCACCGGAGATTCGTCTCGACGGTGACAACATAAACCGGCGGAAGAGGGGAGAAGTTTTTGCTAGAAAACAACAACAGATACGGCGGAGCAAGGTGTTTTGTTTTTATTGTTTATAAACAATATTCTCGCAACTAAATATTGTCGTTATGACGTTATGTCATTATCTTACTAAATATTCTGGCAACTAAATCTTGTCGTTATGTGACTTATGTTATGTCATCATCTCACTAAATATTCTCGCAACTAAATATCCAATCACAAAAAAATGAATCGTGAATCTTGTATATATATATTTAACCTTTCACTCCCGAAAAAGACTTATCTTTTTTTTTTTGTCAGCCTCTCTCCAAAGCTATGAGCTATCCATCTCGTCACAATCTTCTCTGCAGCTGCAGTCATGATGTTTCACAGATCATAGACTTTGTATTGATACTTTCTACACAAACATTCATGATATCTAAAGCTTATTATTGTGACCTATTTTGCTAATATCGTGTGATTGTTGTTTTTCTGTTTCAGATAAAGAACATAATCGAGACATGTATTCAAAAGTACATGAGTTTGGAGGAAACGGTAACATATATGGAGGACAATCACAAGATTAGTCACCATCTCACCAAACCAAGTATATATATTATAATCTCTGTTTCTATTTGAATCGATTCTGTGCTTGTTTATAAACGATCGAATTCTGTTTCTTTTATTAGTACTAGGTTGTTTAGCCGCGATACTCGCGACTTGTTGCATAATTTTATGTTTTGTGTCAATGATAAAAAAAGTTTTAGAAAATATAAAAAAAGACAAATTTATATATTATATAATATTTCAATAAAAAACATTGCTATCACATATATTTTATATTCTTAACAATAATCCTAAAAGATAATTTTTATCTTTTTTCTCTCTTTTTTATATTTCACATAATTTAAGTTATAGTGACAGGTTTTTATTTATTTTTACTACTAATTCGGATTACCAATTATATAACTGTTTTTTGGTAAATTTATTTTGTTGGAAAATAATAATTTTAACTATAACCTTTTAAAAATAGATATACTGGTATTTATAAAATTACATGTTAGATCACAAAACTAAATATATTTAATATGATTATATTAAAACAAACGTAAGAAATAAGAGGTTTCTTCTTACAAAATTTATTTCATTAAAAGATCACATAATTTTAGAAAATATATTCATGAATATGTAAGAAAATAATCAAAACTACATAGTAAAGAATAAGAATGCTATCATTTCAAAAATAATTTCTATAATTTTGTTTCAATATAAGTATAATTAGAAGAAATTTAAACGGCTCTTATGATTTGATATCTTACATTTGCTTATATTTTAGTAAATACATTTCATATATTATTGATATAACTCACAGATACTTCGTTTGTTTGTTGATATAAACTCCTACATAATAGTTCAAACTCATATTATTTTGTAAGTGGCAAACTAAATTTGTTTTCTTATAAAATCATATGAACTTCAATCTAAAGGTTTAAAAAAAAAAAAAAAAACCCAAGGATAGAAGGTTTTTGTTTTGTAATTCTACTCATCAATTAAAATTCTATTGCTAGATTTCATACTAATAGTGTCATGTTAATAGGATATAATAAACAAATTTGTTTTATTATAGCTTTTTTTCTTCTATATTTCACTCTATTTAAGTATAAGTGTTAGATTTCATTCTAATTTTCTTCTAACTAAATATAATTTTCATTAAAAATATAATTTCATATATTCTTTTTAATCTCCAGGACCAAATTTGTTTAACAAATTTTTTTTTGTTTTTGATAAACAGATAAACCTCAAATTTTATATAAAATAAAAATTATAATAAATCTTAATATAATTATCTATTGGATCAAAAAAATAAATATAGTGATACATATACTAAAATGAATTACAAAAATTTATTCGAGACAAGAAAGAGGTAAGGAATAAATATCTGATAAATGTATTAGAATAATTGATTTCATTATATATTGAATAACTAAAAAAAATACATGAATATGTTAGAAAATAATCAATCCATAGTAAATAATTAAGATGGATCTTTTCAACTTCACTCCCTTGTTTTGCGATGATTAGAATTTATATTTTTAACTTTCCATCACCAATAATTGTTTTGTTATAGCCATCAAAACTTTATTTTACATATGTTAATTCAAAATTAAAAATGTTATAATTAAGGAAGAAATAGGTGTAATCTAGTATGGTGTTAGAAACTAAAAAAATTGAGAAACAAATTATAATCAAATTCTGACAATGATGTTTTCATTGATTTCAACCCATATAACAAAAAAAATAGATACATGAATATAGTAGAAGAGGATGAGAGAATGATTACTTATAAGATAATAATCTAAAATATAAAATGGAGATGAATCTTTAAAAAAATTAAAAAAACTAATGTAGAAATTAAATTATAGAATTAAGCTTTTACAATGATATTTAATTTGATTTTTTTTAAAACCATACAACAACAACCACAACCTAAATAAAAAACACAAAGCAATAATAAAAAAAAAATTGAAATATAGTGGAAGAGGATGAGAGATATAAGTTATAAATTATAAATTAAGCTTTTACAATGATATTTAATTTGAGTTTTTTAACCCATACAACAACAACCACAACCTAAATTAAAAAAAAAAACACAAAACAATAATTAAAAAAAATTGAGATATAGTGGAAGAGGATGAGAGATGAGAGAATGAAAATATGAGGAAATGAGTATTTATATGATGAGAAATGATAGAAGTTACAATTTTAAAAAATAAATATGGGAGTTACAATTCTAATTGATTGTGTGTTGAATAAAATTGAGTGGAGTATATATTTAATACATAATTTATATGATTTCAGTTTTATATTAAATTGTGAATAAGTGAATATAATTAAATGTCTTTTATTTGTGGTTTAATTGAAAATAATTTCTTAAAAAAAATTATATTGCCAAGTGGACTGTTTATAAACGATCGAATTCTGTTTCTTTTATTAGTATGGGAGCAGCTTCAGAAAGAGAGTCCAGAGTTTTTCAACAAGTACCACTTAAAACGCGAATTAGCGCGTCAAATAACGATGTTTAACAGTTTACTTGGAAAGCAAGTTTCTCTGATGGTCGAGCATGGAGCTCTTGATATCAATACTGCATCATGTACGTAACAAGGACTAAAATCTTCTTATGGATTATTTACTGATCGATTTTATGAACTGCTTCAGTTATTTTTGGTGTCTTTGTGTAGATACACTCAAGAATTTTTTTCGTCAAGATCCTGAAGGAGCTCATCTCTTGGAGAAACTAGCTAATACTCCTTGTAAATCTTTCTACTGATGATATCTTTAAAGTTCAATAATTTTTTTGAAAATTGGGTTTGTTTTGTTTGATAACTCTTTGCATTATGTAGCTGATATGTCAGAGGTGAGTCTTTCAAGCTTGGCAATGTTGGTATTAGATGATACAAATGGTCCAACAGGTAAAATCCGACATACATATATGGTACTAGAGTCATGCTCGAAAACTCCATTTCTTGCACTTTTAACATCTAAGAATTCCTTATGTTTCTCTGTCTTGTAGTAAACCAGTGGCAGATTCCTAATGATCAGCAACATCAGTTTCAGCATTATCAATGGTCTACTACAACTGTTCATCTACCTTGTAAAGAAAATACTCAAACCTTTCTCTCTTTCTAAATATTGAGTTTGTTTTGTTTGATATCTATTGCATTTTATAGCTTCTTGGTCATGATTGCAGCTCGGCAAAAACTCGATTTCTTTCACTTTTGACTTTTAAAGCTTCCTTTGTTTTTTTTTTGTCTTGTAGTAAACCGGTTGCCGATTCCTGATGGTCAACAAAATCATCTTCATCAAAATCAATGGTCTACACCAAATAATCATGCTTGTAAAGAAAACCCTCAACCTTTCTCTCTTAATCTTTCTATTGTTTAACACTTCTACTTGAGCATTTTTATGAATAACTCTACTTTCTTTCTCCATAGGTACCAATCTTGGAGCTCCTACTGTTCCACCGGCAGCTAATGATCAATGGTTTCCTTATAGTGATCCTGCGTGTAAAGAAGACACAATCTTTCTCTCTTACTCTCTCATTTGTTTAACACTTCTACTTGGGCCTTTTTATGAATTACTCTACTTTCTTTCTCCATAGGTACCAATCTTGGAGCTCCTACCGATGCACCAGCAGCTAATGATCAACGGTTGACAGATTTTGATCCTGCATGTAAAGAAAACACTCAACCTTTCTCTCTTTATCCTTGATAGTTTAATTTAAACCCTTTTACATTGAATCATTTGTATGAATCACTCTTTTTTTTTTCCTCCATAGATTACGATCCTGTATATTCAGCCGTTGCACCAGTAGCTACTGCTCAATGCCCAACATCTAATGATCTTGCTTGTAAAGAAAATACTTAATCTTCCTTTCTAATTTTTTTATAACTCTTCTACTTAAGCATTTGTCTGATTCAATGTCCTTTCTCTTTCCCATAGATACTAGAGCTCTAACTGTTGCAAAAGCACCTACTGCGGCATTTGACCATTTTACAGATGAGTTTGGAGACGATATTGAAAATAGCGTCCCAAATTTCCAGCAGATGGATCCTTCAACAGCAGAACAACTGACGCAACTCGAGCACCTGCTAGATGACCAATATGGACAATACGAACTGCCTTTGGAGCTGCAAACACCTGAATATGAAGCAAACAACAACGGGCTACAAGGAGTAATACCGCAGCAACAACGTCATCGTTATCATCAGGAACAAGAGACAAACCAAACACAAAGAGATCCTCTGAATTGAATACCTGTTCAATCTGAAGCTTTAAACCATTCAGATAGTGGTAAGTAGCTTTCCAACAATACAAATCTTTTTGTACAATACCTTAAATTTCTTTTGTCATCCCTTATCTTACTTGTTTCTTGGTTATTCTCTCTTTTCACTTAGGTGATAGCACACTAACAATGGCTCAGAACCAGAATGGTCTCCAAAGGCAACATGAATGGATAACCTGGTCTCTGAATGAGTGGAGCAATATCAGAGTGAAATGACAAAAGAAATTTGCAAACAGTAGGGGATTTATCCTCTGTCAATTTACTTCTCTCTCCCTAGATTAGCTTTCTTGGTTTTTTTCCTTTTTATGGTGTGACAAACCCACAAGATTTTTAGCAAGTTTCTTGCTACTATAGTTTAAGAACCCAAAACTATTGCAAAGATAGGATCTTTCGAGAATTAGAATTGAAACAGCTATATAATCTTGCTACATTCACTAGCTCATACACCCAAGTTCAAACATATGCGTGATCAAGCCACAAACCCAAAATTGGAAAAGGTCGAAAGAGTTGGCCGTTGATACGTGCAAGCCACAAAATTGGAAAAGATCACACACCCGCGTTACTGAACATATACGTGATCAAGCCACAAACTTTTTTTTTATTATTTAATTTGACTAACCATCTTACTAAACACTTTTAATTCCATATACTACTTATTTTTATTAACTTAAATTACAAAAATTAAATATCTCGAATTTTAAAATAACAAAACTTCTATAAGAAAGATTTTTTTATATTAAATGCATTATGTTTTTCATTTGAAAACTAAACAATGTAAACATATAGTATATGCATTTTAACATCAACAAATTCTTTTACATATTATAAAAATTAAATTAGAACCGCAAATCTATAAGTCTAAATTTATGAATGCGTAAATAAAATTTTATCTGTATATATAAATCATTAAAATATTTGAAATTTAATTTGTAAATTTATTTATACACTAAAAGATTGTGTTATTACATGAGATATTATATTTTAATTTAAAATATTTTAGGGTATTTACAAATTTAGTTTTGACATCCCAAGATTCAATATAAATTTTTGAATTTTTTTAAAATCGTCCTCTCGTAAAATTAAATAACACATGTGCATGACACGGGATCTTACCTAGTAATATATAACAATATAGATTTTTAAGATAAAACCAATTTTATTGATGAGGGGAGAGGAGAGTTTTTAATAAAATCTTTGAAAAACCTCTAAACTAATTAAAGGAAATAATTTACTTAAATCGAATTGAAATTGACATTGATTTCAATTATTTTAATTCCAAAATTACCCTTTCTAAGTGTACTTAAACACTTTCTACATATAATTTCAGTGGTAACTGAAGTAAATAAATTATTGATTCTTGACAATGTTCAAATATACAACATCTCTTTTAATATAACTAGATGAATACCCACGCTACGCGTGGGTTTCTGTTTTAAAAATTGCAGAAAAATATGATTATGGTTTTTGTTGCGTTTTATGTTATTTTGTGTGTGTGTGTGTTATATGTAATTAATAAAGTGATATCTATTTTCTATAATTATAATTTTTATGATTAGATTCATCTTTGACTCGAAATATTAGTTCCACGTTTTTTATGTATAAATCTAATTATTTATATACCTACGATCATAATCTTTCATTATCATGAATACATACAATAATAAGATATGATATATTGATACATGGTATGTAATTATGTTACTTATGTGGTTTGAAACTTGCCTAACTAAATTCTAAACAAAGAAATTTTTTGTTCCATTTACTTTCTCGTCATCTAGTAAGCCAATCACATCATGATATGCTAGTACAATTTAAGTCAACACTTTAGATCTCTCTCCTTGTATACAACCATTTAGGAGAGAGTTTCGTGTTTTTAATTTCTTGGTATGTCTAACGTCTCAAAGGACCATTAAGTGAAAAAAATTGTGTGTCAATATTACCAACTTATCATAACGCACAAAATAAAAAGAGAGAATGCCATATTCACAAAACGTAACATGAAGTTAGGTAGCAAATATATAAACTACAACACAAGTAATTTTTTAGCCATTATCGTGTAATGAACATCAATAAAAAATTTTAATAATATAAGAAGAGAAATTTAATAATATAAAAAATTATGTGTCAATGTTACCAACTTATCATAACGCACAAAAATAAAAAGAGAGAATGTCATATTCACAAAACGTAACATGAAGTTAGGTAGCAAATATATAAACTACAACACAAGTAATTTTTTAGCCATTATCGTGTAATTACCATCAATAAAAAAATTTAATAATATAAGAAGAGTAGAATGAAAATAGTGTTTGATACATTAGTATGATCCTTTACTTTATTTTTTAGTTTTTAAGAAAATCAATGAAGAGTGAGATTAATGGAGAATTTAACACAACAAAAGCCTTTTGATTTTCTCTCAATTAATTTTGCTAATCTTTTTATTTAAATAATTTAGAACGACACATGTCATTTTCTTATGTGATGATGTAACACTCGTATGGGGAGCGTTAGACAACTTTTATATATATGATTAAGTTTTTTTTTATATAACCGATTTGATATACAATATCTTACCCATATATAAATATGTATGTGTTTATTGCTTGCTTGAATCAATGGGTCAAGTTAACAAAACAGATAGGAAGCTTAAAAGTTACAGAAACGAAATAAATCAGAAAGAATCGGAGGTCATAGATAGCCACATGGGCGAAAAAAAAAGCCCTAACCATGGCCATTGGCCAATGCATGGTATATTCATATAATGACTCTTCATGATTCATTCTATTTAATTTCATATCTCTCTGTATATTGTTCCTCTTAATTGCTAACTTAGTGTATACATAAACATGGACCGTGTTGAAGATCCCCATATCCATATATATATGAGTCTTTTTTTCTCTAACAATTTCCTTCTCCAAAACAAAACCCTTGCTTACGGAGCAATCAAAAATTTAATACTAATGTAATTTAGTGTTTAAACTTTGTCTCGGGATCGTTCATAAATGTATATATGTATAAGTCAACATGGCGTAGAGACACATGGAGCAGTCGATTTTACGCAAGTGTACCACACGATGCAACATTAGGCGCGTAGAGACACTATATAAAAATAAAAGTCATATTAATTTCCGGCGAGTCTTGCTTTTTACGATAGCTTTTTGAGCATCTCCGGCGGCGTGGCCACCGGCCGTCAACTTCACCATCATCAATTCATCATCAATATCAACATGCATCATCATCGTACATTTATGTACCCATTTAATTAACTCCGTTGACAATTACGTGTGAGTGTATATATATATATATATCAAGAACTTGTAGCTGCTTAGAAAAAAAGGCAGTGGTTAAATGTTTTAAGAAGCTGTCTTTAATTTGAGACAAGAGAAGGAAAACGTAAATCGAAATGGGTTCGTCGTCGAACGGAGGAGTGCCACCTGGTTTTCGGTTTCATCCGACGGACGAAGAGCTTCTCCATTACTACTTGAAGAAGAAAATCTCTTACCAAAAGTTTGAGATGGAAGTCATCAGAGAGGTTGACTTAAACAAGCTTGAGCCTTGGGATTTGCAAGGTACTCTTTTACTTATTCAACTCATTAATCAATAACAAATCACAATATCATTTCTTGTTATTAATTGATATCATATTTTGAGATCTTGATGGTTCTATTCTTCTCCATTTCTTGATTATTGGATATATATACATGAACAGTTATTGTTATCTAACTCTCTAATTTGTATGTAATCTTTTGTTTTTTGGCAGAGAGATGCAAGATAGGGTCAACACCGCAGAACGAATGGTATTTCTTCAGCCACAAGGACAGGAAATATCCGACAGGGTCAAGGACCAACCGTGCTACTCATGCAGGGTTCTGGAAGGCGACGGGACGTGACAAGTGCATAAGGAACTCTTACAAGAAGATAGGAATGAGGAAGACACTTGTGTTCTACAAAGGTAGAGCTCCTCATGGCCAAAAGACTGATTGGATCATGCATGAGTACCGTCTTGAAGACCCTGATGATCCTCAAGCCAACCCTAGTGTATGTCTTTTATTTGAGCAGTATTTAAATTATAATATATATCAATATCTTTGTTCAAACAGTGCAGTTGCAGAGAATTACACATAATCTCTGACTTCCATACTATGTTTTCTAGTACTCCCTCCGTTTTCAGAGAAAATTTTTATTTAAATTAAACGATGTTTTCAATTTTTAAAATATGTATATAATAAGTAAGTCTTTTAATTAGTAAAATATTTTTACAACAATTTCCGATTTAGAATTTGGACAGAGTCTTAAAATAGCTTGAGATTGCACTGTATATCATGATGCGTTAAATTCAATTAATTGGTTAGGAAGCTGGTCCATTAAATTTAAAAGAAATTTAATCCATTTGCAACATATTTTATACGATCTTGTAGGAAGATGGATGGGTGGTATGTAGAGTGTTCATGAAGAAAAATTTGTTCAAGGTAGTAAATGAAGGTGGCACAAGCATTAACTCATCGGACCAACACAACCATGATGCATCCAACAACAACCACACACTTCAAGCTCGTAGCTTTATGCACCGAGACAGTCCATACCAGCTTGTACGTAACCACGGAGCCACGACATTTGAACTCAACAAGCCTGACCTTACTCTTCATCAATACCCACCAATCTTCCACAAGCCACCTTCACTTGGATTTGACTACTCCTCAGGACTTGCAAGGGACTGTGAGAGTGCGGCGAGTGAAGGGTTACAATACCAGCAAGCGTGTGAGCCGGGTTTAGAGGTCGGTACTTGTGGGACAGTGGCTAGTCATGATAGTCATCAACAAGGTTTAGGTGAATGGGCAATGATGGATAGACTTGTGACTTGTCACATGGGAAATGAAGATTCCTCTAGAGGGATTAGGTTTGAGGATGGTAACAACAATTCTTCGTCTGTTGTCCAGCCAGTTCCTGCGACGAACCAGCTTACGTTGCGCAGTGAGATGGATTTCTGGGGTTATTCTAAATAGATGTTTATATTTCGGTCTTATGAGTCTAAGACAATATAAGTGCTGATTTGTGTGTGTGTGTGTTCTTGAGTCATGTTTTATTTATTTGTTGGAAGCAAATTGCTTCACAAAACCCAAATATTAATTATATCTACTGTTGGAATAAATAATAACAATACTGATTAGTGCATAACTTCATTCTACTCATATATCGCTATTTTCTTCTTGTTTTGCAATGCAATGCAAATAAATTGCTACAAGCTAGAACTTGAGCTTATTTTCAGTCAAGAATCATGATGATTATTTTTATGACATATTTAGGTTGAATTTTGTTTATTCATAACATAATCATCGCAAATTAAAATTAGTCTCGAAAATGTCACAAAACCTTGTGACAATCATATTTACTGATAATGGCAAAAAAATCTTATATATATTAACTGAAAATTACCTAGTTTGACTCAAATTTAGAGAAAAATAACTAGATTAACACCCAAATATTGTGGTTTACTAGAATAACACAAATTTTGTGTTAAAAGACCAAATACCCATTTTATTTTCAGTTCTATCAAAATAAAATAACTAAATTAAATAGAAAATTAAAAAAAAAAAAAATTATAAAACCAAAAAAACGAAAATTGAAAAAAAAAAATACAAATGATAAAATATATATAAATTGAAAAAAAAAAAAAAAAAAAAACAACTACCCATTTTATTTTCAATTCAATTAAAATAAAATAATTAACATATAATAACTAAATTAAATAAAAAATTAGAAAAAAAAATTACAAAACGACAAAAAAAAATAAAATGCAAAAAAAATACATAACAAAAAAAATTAAAAAAAAAATAAAAAAAAAACAAAAAAAAAATTAAAAAGAAAAAATATATAAAAACGAAGAAAAATTATCTTTATCATATATTAACAAGGAGACAGCCACACATGAACCATCTATTATAAATAAGTCTGTCGCGATAAGAATATATCTGTCATTACCTTATTGTGCAGATTAAAATTTTATTTTCATCAATAAAACTGTCATCATACGACATATTTTTTTATAGTCTATCTGAAATCTGTCATAATATAAAAGAAATCTGTCATAACATAAAATATTTCGGTTGTGAGTATATGTCATTCTAGCAATTTATATTTTTATATAACAAATCTGCTATCACACTCCAGATTTTTGTTAAGAAAAAAAAAACTGTCATAACATAAAATAAATCTGTTATCAATAATAAGTCAAACTAGTAATTATATTTTTAATAACAGATCTTCTACATTATGACAGATTTTTCTCGAAAAATATAAGTCTTACGCCACTAAAACAATAAATCTGCCTCACATTTTAATAAATCTGTCAAAATTACGAAAGTCTGTGGTGTCATCATAAAATAAGTCTGTCGTGAGAAAAATATCTGCTACAAATTAAATATCTGTCGTAACCTATTTTAAGTAAGTCTGTAGGAGAAAAAAAATCTGTCGCAAAAAATCTGTCATAGAAAAATAAGTCTGTCATGGTAAATAAACCTGTCACAACTAACCCAGCAGATTTTTCAAATATTTTTTTTTTCCAAATTTTTTTTCACCACGTTTTTTAAATATATTTAAGGGTATTTTTGACTTTTTTTTTATTCCTAACAAAGAGAGAAAGGGTATTATGGTCATGAAAATAACTCATTTAACCCCTAAATTTTTTGAGACATTCTAGTAATTAAACTCATAATTTGGGTTAATCTAGTAACTTTCCCTTATAATAATAGCCAAAGAGAGTATTTCCATGGTTAACACCTAGCTAAACATATTGTTGGTATAGCTTTTTATCGAAAGTAAAAGTTAAATGAGAATAGTTCCATTTCATATTTGTGTAAGAATTCAAATATCTTAATTGTTAGATCTTCTATTAACCATATTACTTCATCTACTATCTACTATTTTAAAAAACTCTCTTAATTGTTAGATATTCTAATAACCATATTTTAAGAAAAGTGTGATCGGAGAAATGTGTTGTTTCTCTTTATTCTTCAATTTCTTTACCGTTAAAGATTAACTTTTTTATCCACACCATCCGTTTAAATTCCTCATCAAATGAGAAACAATAGAACAAAAATATTATTTTCTAAAATTTTTGAAAACCAAAATCTAAAAAAATATAAATAAATAAAATAGTATTTATTCATTATATATATATATGTGATATATTCATATATTTAAATATAATTTTCAATGAGATTCATTTGGAGATGATTTTCTTGTCAAATCGTATGGTTTTTAAAAAACATTATATTGATATTAAATAATTTTTCGAAGGATTCTTGTAAGAAAACCAAATTACCAAATAAACGAGGATAATTTAATCTTATTGTGAATAAGGAAAAACGAACGTACAAGTTTACCAGTACATTAAAACATATTAATAAAATTATACAAAAGTCGGAAAAAACTAACAGAAATTTCATTCATCGTTTGGTTACAATTCATGAGAAATATATATTTTACTTTTTTTTTGCATTTTCTATCAGCATTCATCAAATATTTTCCTATTCCATTCCTCCTTTATACATATTTTGTACATTCCCTTTTGCTCTTTAAATGGTTAGTTGGTTACTAGTCAAAGTTTTTTAGTTCAATTTTATAGCTACTGAGAATTCTATTTTATTTTAATAAATGATCAAATAAACGAAATTAATTTAATGTCAGCGCAAATAAAGAAAAACAAACGTACAGTTTACCGCTACATCAAACCATATTAATAAGACTATATAAATTTGGAAAAACTAACCAAGTTTTAAAATTAGAAAATGTTCAAGTAGACTAACAAACTGACTTCAACGTCAACAAATATTCAATTCAATTGTACAAGATTTGGATATTTTGTATAGGTCATGGCAAAAGAAAGGGTTAACCCCGAAAGCAACTCTCAAGAAGATGACGCTAAAGGGGCTTATCAAAAAAACATATGAAGTAACCATTCTATGTGACATGTGCTTGGTTGATCTTTTTCAATCATGAAGAAAATAAGTGAGATGAGTGACTATTATGGTTAGTTCACAAGTTTTTTCACAATCCCCTTCAGCGTCTTCACGAAACCGGCTTTTCGGAGTTTTGATTCCAGACCCAAGCAAGTTTCACCTTTCTCATGGCTCTCACTTAATATTTCTCACTTGGGTTTGTTTTATGTTTCTTTGTGGTGTTAAAAGAGAGTCATGCACTTGTGGTCTTATATAAGAAAAATCAAGGATAAAGCGATAAGAGAGTCAGCTTCTGTAGGATTTGGTCCGGCATTTTCCGCGGCTGCTGCTTGACTCAGTCGCCGTGATCGCCGAACTGGAATTCTTCTCTCCCCCCCCACGAGTTTTAGACATCATCAGTCGGAATTTTAACAGAGGGAAGCGAGAGAGAGATTGGGATTCTAGGGTTAGAAAATGAAATCGATGTGTCTAAAATGGCATGTCAAACAAACTTCGCTAATTAATTGTAAAGTCAACAAAAACTTTATGATTTAAATTTCTTCATCGTAGTCCAAGATCAAATCGTCCCAAATTTGAAAGTTCATGATTTTTTTGACATTTTTTCCCTTATATAAATATATTAGATCCTGACCCGCATATACGTGCATGATTTCATATTTTTAAAAATGTGTTTTAATAAAATTTAATTCAATATAGATTATTTTGTTATTTTGGTCATATATGTAGATTCGGTAGATATTTGTAATGGTTGTAGATATTTATTTCAAAATTTATATACCAAAATTTAATTCAATATTTTTAATGGTTGTAGATATTTATTTGATATACCATTCATAATTTGAATTCATATTAGTTTGGTATTTTGATTAGTTTCATTTCGGTGTATAGGCATGACCACATTTACGGTTATTACGCTTACGGTCGATTAACCGCCAGTTACAGTTATAAATTTTCTTTAACCGTAACTTTAACCATTATATATACAGTTAAAACGGTTACGGTTAAATATGGTTACGGTTAAATACGGTTACGGTTACAACGGTTACGGTTAAATACGGTTACAGTTATTTGTTGATTACGATACGGTTAATATCGGAGATAAAATCTTACGAGTTACCTAACTTATTATACTACTTTGAATAGAATAAAAAAGTATGTTATAAACCAAATTTTCTTTATTTTTAGCAATATAGCATTAGAACATATTTGTTTGAGAAAAAAAAAACCAATTTTCCTAACGTAGATTTTTTGATGTGCGGTATCATTTACTTTTTTTGAAAATTTTTATCTGAACATTCGAAATTTGTTTTGCATCATCCGCAGCTACAATAATATTTTTAAAGTTTTAACTATGCGGTTAATAGTGCGGTTAACCGCACGGTTAACCGTACGATTAACTAACGGTTTTGACACGTTTACGGTTAATTGACGGTTACGGTTAGTATATTTTTTAACCGTAACTAATCTGTTTTGACGGTTAACGGTTACGGTTTTTAACCGTTTTATACGGTTACGGTCCGGTTACGGTTGAGAAACGGTCCGGTTACGGTCCGAAATACGGTTACGGTTAGTTTTTGGTCATGCCTATCGGTGTAAATGAGTTGATTTGTTTTTGTTATCAGACAACTACGTAGAAAAGACAATGAGAAAAAGTAGTCTCGTCCCGTCCCGTTGCCTATCTTGAAATTTTCCGTCACATAATTGTTTTCTTTAAAATAATTACCTATATGAGAATGTTTAATCTAGTTCAACATATAAGAGAACATTTAAGAGATTCAGTTAGAATTCCCATATTTCCCGTACTTTCCCTTTCGAGATTTAATTTTTACAAAATAAGTAGAACCTATTAAATTTTTTTTATTTTTTAAACATTCTCTAATTGTTTAAAACGATGGTTCGTGTTATATTTGAACACATATTTATTTGGTATAATATTCATAATTTGAATTTATACCAAATGCAGTTTGATTCGGTTTCAGTCTGAAGTATAAAAGAGTTAAATGTTTAAAATAACAAAATTTTGACCAGTACTTTGAAGCAGATGGACCGGAAATAACCGTAAAGCGGATTAGTGATCAGTAAGATTTTTATTAAACTTGTGAATGATTAAAGATCTGTGAACCGATGAGATAAACAAATCGGTTGAGTATTTTGGTTTAGTAATTAATTTTGCAAACATTTGAACATATTTTCAATAATGTTACCGTTTCTAGAC